ATATAAGGTTTTGCACTCTGCATATTTGCATTTGTACTCCTTCTAAATTGAGCCAATATAAAGTATAAGTATATATGAGCATATATACTTAAAACTGATTGATGGTAGTATAGGGGTGTATAATTGATCCAATTATAAAAAAATATGGATAAGTACCTATTTTTTTTTTTTTTTTTGGATTTTGAGACGGGGGAAGTTGCCATTGACCAAGATACCTTTGTTCTTTTTTTTTTATATTTATGTGGGGTTGATGGAAAATTTATTCCCATCTCCCAGATGGATAAGTAACTTTCCCATATGGACTCCAGATCTATTGCCCAGGAGAACTCTGCCCACATCTCCCCACAACACACAACCCCCATGAATTGGGAACATCTCCCCCTGCATAATACTATGTAGGAGGATGAGATGTTCTCCATGTGTGGCTGTGATGTTATGTGGGTAGACATGAGCAGAGTTTGTGTGGGCAGGAGATCCAGACTCCCATACGGAGGGAAGTTGCTAATACTTGGATGAGACAAAATTGCCCATTTTTAATAATGATTTTCTATGGTTGAAACAATCATTATCTTATTTACCTAGTAAACAAAAGAACATAGACAAATATACTTACCTTGGTAAGGGTTTCCTGTCTGGGTAAGTAACTTCCTAAAAAGTGAACGGGCCTTAATTGAATCGGTTTCACACAATGAGATACTATTTGCATCCCTAGCTTGTGTTGAGCATCTTTGCCTAATACTGTATAAGTTCTTCAAATCAGGTCTAAAATATGACACTCCTAATGTATTGCATAAAAATTGTGCATCCCGAGTCTTTGAACACCGATGTTCACTTATTTAATTGTTGGTTTAATATTTCAAAAATAAATATATCAGAAGGGGTCTTAATGTTTAATTTTTTTTTTGTACAAAGGAGAAGAAACTACACGCAAGTCACTAACAGTTAAATAAGGAATTTGGATTTGGTCCTCACAAAATTATTCTCACAGCTTTTTACAACCATGCATTAAAATCATATCCGTACTCGTATGTTTTTATTGATGGAGAAATATTCCCAATGCACAATGTAAGGGGATGTGAGGATGAAATCTGAATTCCTAATAACATAACACATCATAATTCACAACGGGCACCCAGGACACAAATTAATTTTAACTTCATTCATTGGCTAGCTAGTCAGCAGCCCTGTTACCTTCTCTAAGAATATGAGAGATTTTTACTTTCAGCCATCTATTTCTCTCGATGGCAAGGCATAAAACCCCAAGTATTTAATGTTTCGGTGACAGTGAAAACCGATACGTATCGTACTTTGAACCATGTTATGAAATATGAAGTATAAACTCGATGGAAAAGAATGAAATATGCCTTTCTTTTTTTAAAGCCAAAAATTTGCTTAACAATTTTTTGGTTAATTGATTTTGGAAGGCAAATGATCTTTTGATTTACTGAAATGAGAGCAAATTTTTTTCAGCAAAAAATTAAAAAAAAAAAGTGAAGGAAGAATTTTCTACTTTTTTAGCCAACAAGTGATAACTGTGCCTAACATCATGGCGTCATGGCCATACAAAATTCATACACAGTGGACCCACCACCGCCATTATATGGGTCCCACGTTCAGACAAACTGTGACTCGTTTGTAACTAATTTTTAAAGGATGCATAAATAAAAACAAGGGGTCAGTTGCTGAATTCTCCCCTACAATTTGACAATTGCAATCACTTTCCTAAACTTAAACTTTTTGATACAGTTGCAAGTTAATTCCTTTCTTTGATTCCTCTAATAAGAGATACAAAAATGTTTAAAATACCTATGCAATTATTATTGAGGCTGGTTTATATAAAACAACAACAATAACAACAACAACAATAATAATAATAATAATAATAATAATAATAATAATAATAATAATAATAATAATAATAATAATAATAAAAGAACTTAGGCTCAGTTTGGAAGGAGTATAAATGCAAATATGTAGAGTATAAAATCTTATGTTTTGTATTATTTGCATTTGTACTCTTTCAAACTGATCCTTAGGGGGTGTTCTTTTTTAGATTTTGAGAGGGGGAAAAGTTGGTTTCCATTGACTAATAATCCATTGTTCTTTTTTCAGATTAATGTGGGGATCAGGAAAAGATTATTTTTCTATGTATCACTTATCATCTCCTAAGTGGATAAATAACTTTCCCACCAAGGAGGAAGTTGCCAACACTTGAATGGGACAAAAATGCCCCTTTAATAATTGACTTTTATGGCTAAAATGGTCATTGCCTTTTTTTACTTGGGAAATAAAAGAGCATGGGTAAAATACATCTGCCCGGGTAAGTGTTTCCCAATAAAAGCATACCTAGGTAATTGCATTTACCTGGATAAGTAACTTATTGAAAAGCGAATGGGCCCTTAAAATTGTAGCTTTACTTGTGAGCAGTTGATATAAAGGACAAATTTAGAAAATAAATCAATTTTAGAAAAGAGATTATGGAAAGACTTGGGCCAGCAATTCATATGAAGGGAAGATTTGAAAAAAAAAACATTTTGGTGAAAAGTAACTAACTGTATGGTATTTTGAACATTTTTATGTTTCTTTTTAGAGTATTTTAACAAAAGAGGGTCTACTTTCCAGTTGCAACTATGTGACAAAGTTTAGGGAAAGTGATTGCAATTATCAAACTTCAGGGAGGTTTTAGCAATTTACCATAATAAAAAAAATAAGGCTAAAAAAGAGCTGAAAAAATGAAAATTAAAAAAAAAGATAAAAACAGCTTTATTTTCTTAAAATAGATTTCCTTCGCCCTAATAATTTATTTTATCCAAATAAGTTAACTGTTTATTTTAATCTTAATGGGTAACACACTACCAGTTTCACCTTTTCCAAATATTTTATAAACTGAGAACTGAAAAGCACTCAAATGAAATGTGAATGGGTGAAGGGTTTCCGTCCTAAGTCCTATAAATCCAAGACTGGAGGGGCTCATCAGAACACCAAACCAGGGAAACAGAGAGGGATAGAGCTTGGCTAGAGATTGAGAGAAACAGAGAGGAGAGAGTAGATCTGCAGGTTTCTGTTTGGTAAGAAGATGGAGGGGAAGTGTGTAAAGGGAGCTCTGGTGATGATCATGGTGGTTGGGCTGGTTGCAGGGCAGACAACAGCAGATTCTTTCAAGGATTGTTACGTCAAATGCTTCCTTCTCTGTCTCATCACACCAAACACCACCGCCTTGTCTTGTTCTTGGCAATGTCTGAAGGAATGTATCACTCCCCCCTTTCTTTCTGATGATGCCCATTACTACTGCAGTCTTGGTTGTGCTTCATCTCTCTGTACCAATCTCAGCACCAAGAAGAAACCAGGTAGAGAAACCCCTCCCCCCCCCCCCCCCCCCCCCCCCCCCCCCCTCTCTCTCTCTCTTTCTCTCTTTCTCATGTTCTTCTCTTTGCTTTCATTTTGCAGGTGCAGAGGATGTGGAAGGCTGTGTGAACGGCTGCTCTCGGATGTGCAGGAAGAAGTACTAGTCCTAGTCTCCAGACTCTCTCCACTGTGAGCTTGAGGTCTTGAATGATTTGTTTTATTACATAGAAATATAGAGGAAGGACTGATGAAGATGCCAATTTCAGTTTTTATCTGTTTGTCTGTGACTCACAAACTTTAAATAAAGAATGTAAGCACGCAGCGCCAAGTATGGTTTGTCTTATTGGTGGCCTTTTGGCTTTTGCCCCAAAGAAAAAATTCCATTGAGACATGAGGGGTCACGGATGCCAGTCTGACATTAAAAGCCAAAAAAGAAACAGTCTCTGGTTTTTGCTTGTCTAAGAGTCAGAGATCACCCGTGATTGTCAAGCTGGTTGCTGATTTTCAATGTTTGCGAGTGACGAGAGAGAGAGAGAGAGAGAGGCACGCGTAACCAGCACCAATCAGAATGAGCAGGCTCCCCGCTCCCCACTATTGTTCAATTTAATTTGGAGGATTGAGACCTAGAATTGATTGGGTCACAGTTCTACCGGGGCCCGGGGGGGGGGGTGTCTTGGACTGGTCCAAGATATTTATTGGATTGGATTGGACCTGATCCATTTGTAATGAATTTTTATTGAACGCTGCCCCCTCCATTGACATAAGATAAGAGTATGAATGTCAATAGACCGGGTCAAGGATTAACTGAACGCTTTAGCTGTTCAATGGACTGAAACTAATGATGAGGTTTCACACTAGTATTACATACATGGAACCTGCAACTTTTATAATGAGGCCTATAAATTTAATACTGACATGGAACCTCATCATTGATTCCATAGCGTGCTGAACAGCTAAAGCATTCAACTAATCCAAATTTCAATGGATCAAGTTTAGATTGAATCCAATTTAAATATTTTGGACGGTTTAGACATTGCATTGGACCTGTCCAAAATGGTGGTATAAAGTAGTTATTGAATTGACTTGGACCTGATCTATCTATAATGGATTCATACTGGATTGAATCGGATTAGATCAATATCCGATCCATTGCCAGCCCTACTCGTGATTTCTTTGATGGGTATGGAAAAAACTTGAATGATAGGCCCCGCGCTGACAATTGCGGGTCCTGTTACTCTCCAAACAAAAACTGCTCTCTACTCTCTTAGTTCTCTTAATACAAAGTTTGTAGAACGTGGGAATCCTTCCCTAACTCAAACCCACTAAACCTGGAAAAAAAAAGTCTCTCTGTGTGACGCATTAATCCATTTGAACTCCGTACAATAATAACAGTGGTAGAGACATGGCAGTATGAACTAAATCACATGGAGAGAGACAGTGGACAGCAGTGCCAAAGTTATCTGTATTGACCTTAACCTAAGGGTGTCAATGGGCCGGTTTTGGATTGGACCCCATCCGGTCCAAAATCAATTTGGATGGATTGGACTGACCAGTAAGACATATTGGATTGGATCAATTTAGTCCAAAATATTTATTAGATTGGATTGGGTTGGATTAAGACAATATCTAGTCCATTAAACAGACTAGACACGTCAGACATTAAATTGGACCAGTCCAAAATATTTATTGGATTGGATTGAATCTAATCCATTTATAATAAACTCACATTGGACTAGATCAGATTGGACCAAATCCAGTCCAATTGACACCCCTATCTTAACCCACCAGGGGTGTGCTATGGTCCAAGATTTGGATTCATGTTTAGGCTTGGCTGAACAAAATAGGGTTAGAATGAAGTGGAAATTCATTGTGTGGTAGGGCCCTGATTCTATCCAACTGCCCACCACCGACACCCCTTCCGAGCTGAGTTTAGAAGAGAGCCAGAAACCATGCTTTTTTGGTGCCTTCAGTTGGAGGACTGGGTTAAGGGACAGTTTTGGTTGTTGTGTGTCTTTGCTCTTTGGTTCATATAACATCAGAGTTTCAGAAAACGAATACCCACCATTAACGGGTCTTCCTTATAGTAGTTTTTTCTTCATTCTTGAGTTCGGATTTCCTCCTCACAAAATTGGTTTACATACTCACTTTACAGCCCTTGCAGCCGTACATCGGGAATATTTTCGTACATGTTTGTTTTAATTTATGGGTGTTTATAGTGCATGGCTGCAAGAGCTATGAAGTGGGTACAAGAACCACTTGATTTTCTGTCTAAATTTGACAATCTGGGTTGTTAATAGGCTCCATGTTCCTTTGTAATAGTACACTGACAGCCCAAGCTTGTTGAAATGGATAGCCAAAGTTTTCTTCCACAGGAAGATCACAGGCAAGGTCTTTACTCTTTGGTCAGTTATTCACTCCATCCCAACGAGGATTCTATTTGGGGGGGTTTGCTTCTAGCAAAGAAGCATGGTTTTTAAAATCGGATTAGACCGGATGGTTGGACCAAAAAACCGAGAACTGGTCAGTTGAATGGTTTTGTTTTTTTTTTAAATCGGATATTTACAAAAAAAATGTTGATTTAGTCAGCAAACCATTGTTAGTTTTTTGTCAGAATGGAGAAGTTCATTCTCTGGGTCGGTTTTAAAAACCATGCAAAGAAGCAAAAATTCTGATTTTGGAACAAGTTTATTTTCTACCTTATCTCCAAGCATTTTTGTTTATAATTTTTAAGGATCAAAATTTCGATACAATAGACCCGTATTGGATGTATTGTATTGGCACCTTTCCAAAATACACCTGACATACGCAGCCTAAATCAGGAGGATTTGGGTCCACAAACTTTGGATCCAATCGTAATTGGGTTCAATCTAGGCCATACATACAAATCCTGATTTTAATCAGGTCGATTTCTCCAATTAACAGATTAACAATAAAAAATAAACATTTAAGTATATGGATTTTAAAATTTATAAGAGGGAAGAAAGTAAATCCACTTCTTTCTTTCATCTCCAATTGACGTGTCTGTTTGGACTTGTTTCAGAGTTATTTTCCCGATAATGCTTTAAAGCATGGTTTTTTAAAACGAATAGGTGATCGAACCGGTGAGGGGTTTGGTTACTGGTTCGAACGGTCCGATCATTTGACCCAAATGGCCGGTCCATTTTGTCAAAAAAATAAAATAAAAAAATTAAAAAATTGGAAAACGGTCAAAACCGTTCTAACGATTAACCAGCCGGTTCAATGGTTTGTTGATCAAAATCAACGGTTTTGAGGGAAAAAGCGGTTTTGGAGAAAAATGGATGACCGGTTCCCGGTTTTTCCGGTCCGGTCTGATTTTGAAAACAGTGCTTTAAAGTTTAGAAATTGCATATGAATGCCTTTAAATTTGAATTATTGTTGGCTCTAGCTAAAACAAAATTTAACTTCTGCTAAGAAAAACAAACTATCGTCATTAAGCAGTCATTAGCCTTTCCACAGAAAAGAAAAAAGGAAATTGACAACTACAAATCTGTACAAATCCTCACCTTTTGGCTTTACTCTTAAAAACCCACCTGGAAATTAAAAGTTAGGGGGCATTTTTTTGGATTTTGAGAGGGGGGAAAGTTGGTCAATGGGATTTTGGTTCCAATTGACCAAGAATCACACGTTTCTTTTTTCAGCTTTATGGGAGGACAAAGGAAAGTTTATTTTTTTGGGTACCACTTACCTAAATGGGTAAATAACTTTCCAAAGAAAGTTACCAACACTTAAATGAGACAAAAAATGCCCATTTAATAATGAATTTCTATGATTAAAATGGTCATTTCCTTATTTACCTGGGAAATAAAAGAACATAGATAAATGCACTTAAGGGGGTAAGTGCTTCCTAGGAAAAACTTACTCTGGTAATTGTATTTACCTGGATAAATAACTTACCGAAAAGTAAACAGGGCCAGTTAAACCCTTGAAGATTCATGCAAAATTTTCTTTAAATAATAATTTTAATTGAACAGGCTCATTATATCAATGTGGGTATTTACTTACAAGTCTTTTAGATAGCCCATCCCTATGGCAAGATTTTAGTTGATTAATTAGTTTTTTTTGGAAGGAATACTCAACCATCTGATCTTCTTGACAGTATATGAATATTATCAGGGCTCAAAAGAAGAGCAAAAAGTAGAAACAGAAAAGCAGGTGTTCAGGCCAAATGGTGCGAATGCATTGCTTCACCCTCTGCACAGAGCAAAATGTGTTGATTCTTGAGACTAGGCAGTTTTGTTTTCTAAAAATAGATCAAACTACTCTTACATCCTGTAACCACCTCAAATTCATCATGATGAGCACACTAAAACGTGAGGGAGGAGATGGTGAGATTCAATTTCTTATAAATTCAGTCATTGTTCAAGAGTGAGAGGAAAGGACATAGGCTTCAGAGTTGCAGAGAAGAGTCATCAGCTAGCTAGGGTTTGATTTGCTTTGTTGATGGAGATGGAGGATAAGGGTATGATGAGGGCACTAGTGGTGATGGTTGTTGTGGTGGGCATGCTTGCAACCACAGCAACCTCTCAGTCTCAGACTTTTAGCGGTTGTTACCTGCCATGCATCAATTCCTGTATTTCCACAGGACAGTCCAACATATTGTTGTGTTCTTGGAATTGTTTGTTGCACTGCATTCCAACCTCTCCTGGTGATCCCCATTCCTACTGCAACTTGGGTTGTGCATATTCCATGTGCTCCAAACTCAGTACTGAGCAAAACCCTGGTAACAAATCTCTCTCTCTCTCTCTCTCTCTCTCTCCTGAAGATTGATTGGTTTGATATTTTGCAGCTGCAGAAGAAGTGGAAGGCTGTGTCAACAATTGTTCTCAGACATGCAGTCAGAATTAACCCAGCTGCTTCTATGACTGGTCAAAAATAAAAAGATGAAGAACTGCAGGATAGGATAGGGTTGGTTTCTGTATTGTTTCTTTGATCACCAAATTGTAATGAATTACTCATCACCATGAACAAGATGGTTGACAATGAATAAAGTTCTACCAAACCTCCACAGACTCAGTACAGATCCCATACACTTGACGCCTTATACTAAATTCAATGAAAAATCATCAAAATACAAAAAACAGAAGGATTCAAACTGATAGGAAATAAAGGAAAATTTATTCATTAATTTTAACCATCCTTTGCACCGCACTGATGGATGTATAACCAGCTAGCATTGTATTAATTAAGGCTTGAAACTTTTATTTTTATCATATTGACGTTTCCTGGCAGTAAAAATAAACTCAGGAATGTAGAATGTAATTGGCAAAATCCGATTAGAAACACTAAAAAGATAAATTACATATCGAGTGCAATGGGTTTATT